GGAAAAATAGTTCTATGTCTCTACCCGCTCTCCCTTGGTTTCTGTATAGATATAGACCATGTTGTTTGTTGAAACAGAAGTTAAAATCAGAACATTCCCTTGAAAACACTTTCTGGTAACATTATCAGACTGACTAAAAAAAAAAAAAAGTGAGCTGCAGAGACTTGTTACACATGTATGAACCATCTGCTAAAAAACAGTGGTTCCTCCTAAATGTAATAAGGGCAAAATTGACTTAAAAATTTAGATTCCTTTAACGTTTAATCAATCATATCTTTGACTATAGGCTATTATTGTCTAGCAGGTTAAAGGATCTATCACACGTATAAAGGAAATATCAATAGTTGATTCTGCCACGTAATGGCCACGCCGGCGACCCCGCAGTCATACCTAATACAAATGGCTCACTATAGATTCACAGCTGAAACCAACAAAACATGCAAACTGACTCTGATTTATTTTAATGTTATAATTTCACAGCACTTTTTGAGCTATTTTATAAATGAGTTGATTTCAAAATGGATGAGGCGGTAACATCAAGGTTTAGCTAATTATGTTTAAATTAAATATAAGCATTTAAAATAACCATTTTAATTAAATACAGGACTCAGGCAACTAATCATTAAAAGTGGAATTGTTAACTTGAGATTTATCATTCTGAAATCACTTGTTCTACCTTTCGAATGAGTTCTTTCCTCCACTTAAATGAAAGACAAAATGTATCTCTCTGAAGTGGCAGTTAATAAAAGATGACCCTTTCTTGGGTCATAGTTGTCAATTTGATCTTGAATCAGAGCAAAGGAAAATAAAATTGCTTTACTACAGTCCCTTAGATACGAAACTGTAGTTACTGTTTGCTAAACCATTTCCAACTTGACTTATATTTTAGTTCTATAAATATCTAAGAAAAACCCTAATAATTGTAAAGCATTTATTATTGTGAAAGAAAATGGATATATTGTGTACATTTAGATACATTTTATAGAGGAGGCTCTGAAGAAGAAAACATAAATAATTTTATGATTTAATTTTTTAATTCAAATAATCTTTACAACCTCAAGAATAATGAGGAATACTACTTTGAATAGCTGTATTTTATAACTCATAACTATATACTCCAAACTTTATATTTGTAAGAATATACAAATATGCTGGTAGATTCAAATTTGCATATATTAGTTTGCATATGTTTAAAAAAATCACCATAGGGTAGTCCTTATACTGCAATGTAACTATCACTTAACATAAACCCTGATACATGTAGGTGCTTAACAAATGTTTGTAAATTAAATGAATAAACATATTGATACATTTCATAAAATATCTTTTAAAAGGCTCTCTTTTGAAACCATCATTGCTATATCTTACGTTCTACTTTAGCCTACTCAATTTAGAACATCTAAGAAAGCTGCAGTACGTCTACTTACAGATTTGCAGGGAGTGTGTTTTCCTGTTATCTGTTGCTTTCTGTGTTCTACAATTAGTACAAATGTTAAGACTCTAAAAGAGAGCAGTGTCTCTGCTGGCTGGGAGAGGGTGATTAAAAGACAAGTTAGCTTGTTTTGTTCCTTTTACTAGATACATGCAATTACTGATTGTCACATTTTTCTTTTGTTATAAAACTGAACTAATTGTAGCTACTACCCTTAGGGGATGAGGCCTATAGTATAATAAATGTTGAGTGCCCTCTTGAGTTTAGCATTTTAATTATTCATAATCATAATGATTTCTGTTTATTTAGGAATTTAGACATATTTCTAGTTTACCAAACAAATTCATAAGCACAGTAGTTGAGGCTTTGTTTTGTTTTATTTTATGTTGAGATCAGCAAGCCCATGAATGTGCCAAGAAGTTCTTACAAGCCGTGGAGCCAGTTCTCTGGCTAATAGGTGGCCACTGTTGAGGTGTGCCATGTCCTGAAATAACTGAATATGCTTTTTTCTACTCATTCTCTGATTTTTCCAGAACTATTTGGGTAGTATTGGGATTGTGAGGTGAGGAGTTGACAAGAATTCAAGTGGAAGAACTGGTAATAATGAAAGTGTGTTAATCAGAGAAGACTTTCAGTAGATTTGATAGCTGGCTATTAGCCAAGGGTATAAATTTTAAGGTCTTTTCCTTTTCTTGAAAGAGGTGGTTTGTGTGTGTGTGTGTGTGTGTGTGTGTGTGTGTGTGTGTGTGTGTTTGCTTTGCACCCTAAATACATTTGCATACAATGGACCCAAGTAAAAGATGTATATATTCAAGATAGATATTCTGGCCATTTTGGACTATAGTAATTTTTTATGTCTACTATTTTCAAATACATACTAGTATTAATGATGTATTGGGATGGGACTCCTACAACCTATTTAGACATTATATACATTCTTAATAATAGCATGAAATAAAATACCACTTTTAAAAAAGAGTTTGGTGGGGCAGCCGAGTGGCGCGTTGGTTAAGAGCTGGCTTGGGATGCCAGAGGGCCCCGGTTCGGATCCCACATGAGGGCCAGTGACACTGCCCTCTACAGCTAAGATGCTGAACAACAGCTCAACCTGGAGCTGGGCTGCTGTGAGTCACCGGTGAAGGCGTAGGCTGCAGCCCCTGCTGCATTGGGTTGCCATGGGCTACCGTGTGTAGCCAGCAGCCAGCGTGATCGGCCAGCAGCAGCAGTGAGCAGCTGTCCAGAAGCCGGTGACTGATCTGCCTCACCCGGGAAGAGCGCAATGATGGCACCAACTTGGGCCAGTGAAGCAACGTCCTCCACAACTAGACTGAAGAACTAAAGGACAGCAACTTGTCTGTTCCCCTTCCCCCAATTCCCCAGCACTGTTCCTATCCCCCAATTCCTCAATTAAAAAAAAAATCTTAAAAAAAAAAAGTTTGGCATTGCAAATCTTTTTCAATTTTCCCATCTCTTTGTTTGTTTGTTTTTTCTATCCCTCCAATATAACACTTTAATTTTAGAGCCAAACATGTACTCTGCAGCTAGTGAATTACTCAGGTCTCCTGATAATTTACATTTGACTTAGGAAGAAGCAGAAATTGCTTAATATACTCAAGTAGTAGCAATGGTAAGAATGGCTGATATGGATACTTGTGGTGTATCCATATCAGCCAGAGTGGTGTAAAAACGCCACTCTGGAGGGACGCAATATTAGCATGCTTTAAGGAGAGCACATTTACCCACTCTTACCTAAAAATTTCAGCAGGACCAAGGTTCTGCTACAAGAGCATTATCTAAAAGTACATGGGTAGCCCCCAATTTACAAGTTCATCTCAAATCAAAGGGAATTAACAATTGCATACATATTCCAGGGTTAGGCTCAAATGTGAGTTCTGCTCTTCATCAGTAAATTGCTTAAAAAAGGAACTGGAAAAAAGGAAAGGGAAGGGAAGAAGGGAGTAAGGAAGGGAGGGAGTAAGGAAGGGAGAGAGACAGGAAAAAAGGAAGGAAGGAAAGAAGGAAGGAAAGAAGGAAGGAAAAGAAATGTTCTGATCATCCACATTATATTTCTCTTTCCCAAAACAAATGTTTAATCACAGCTACTGAGGAACAAAATTTTACAAAAAGCCTAATTGGAAAATCCCTTTGCTTCTGTCTCTACCCCCAGGTGCTAATAAGCAAGGAACACGCCCAAAGGACAGGTGGTTGAGGAGAGGCCATGGAATATCCACCAACCAGATAATCATCGCTGGAATAATTGGGAAGTGTCTGAATGTAGGTATGTGTACTGAAGACTTTGTGCTCTTGCAATTCATTATCTGACTTTCCCCACTCCCGTCCATGTTATACACCTGCCACCTCATCAGCCTTTTGAAAGCACTGCTTGGCCCAAGTTGGCACACATGCAGACTGCCACTCAGAAACCCAGATGGCTCTCCACCAGGAAGTCCTTATTCTCTTGGGCTTTTAAAACATCTTCCACAATGACTTTGAACTGCCTCTGCTGTCTAATCTCAATGCTCCCATATAGAAACGTTCGTTCATCCTCGCAAACACTGAGCCTTGTTTCCTGAGCACTGATAGCCTTTGTCCTCTGTCGCCACTATCTGAAATAACTTTCCCAGCTCTTTGCTGGTTTTAGTTCTGTTTTCTCTCCAAGACCTACATCAAGTTCCATCTACATTACGAGCACTTGCTGATTTCCCCATTCCCAATATTGGTTTTTTTCCAAACTTCTGTAGAACTTGTAGTTATACCTTTTCTCTGATGTTTGACAACTTGATTCATATATTGCTTTTTCTCTCTTCATGCATCAGTCCTGTATCCTCAGTGTAACTGTTTATTTCTGGAAAGGCATGATCTGTTGAATTTTGTATACCAGAAACCCATGGAGAGGGGCAGTGGGCATGTAGTGAGCTGCTATGATGAAGCGAGGCAACAAAGGAAAGTGGTAAAGAACAGATTCTGGAATGACAGCCTGAGTATTGAGTTCTTGCTCAACCAATTACTAGCTGTGTGACTTTGGCAAGGTTTTTGTAAAAAAACTTTCTGTGCCTTCATTTCCTCATCTCTAAAATAAGAATAATAATCTTATCTATCTCCTTGAGTTGCTGTAAAGTTTGAATTAGCTAATAAATAAAGAGAATAGTCTAATACATATTAAACACTAAAAAAATCATTACCTATTACTGCAATATTCCATCTCAATTTTCTCAATAATGCTATAAAATACATAGATAGCATCACCCTCATTCTAAAAATAGAAACCTTGTGGCCCTAAGTGGTCAGATCACCACCAAAAATCACAAGAAGAGACAGAATGAGAACCAAAGTGTCTGACCCTAAACCCTGGGCTGTTCCACTCTGCACACTGCCTCATGCACAGGTGCCCAGTGACTAGTTGGTAACGATGGAATTTATCCTTCTCTAGTCTTATAGTTTAAATGAAAGTATGTTGAGATTTCACTAGATTTGACCTTTTAAAGACTATTTGCCATTAGAAATGTTTTTAGTTGACTATGTATTTTTCTTATGAACTAATCCAAAGGGGGTGGAGTCATGACTCCTTTTTGTCTGACTCAGGCTAAAATTCAGCTCAAGTATTGGGTCCTCAGGAAAGTCATGACGTATTTTTCTGTTTTTCAATGTAAAAATGCGTCATGACTTTCCCGATGACCCAATATTTCTGTTCCCAGTTACTGAAGGAGAAGGATGGATAAAATACCAACTAGCTATTCCTACCCTGGGGTATTTTATAATCTAGGTGGCACAGTATTAAAAAACAAAGCAAAAACATCTGACACCATTTTTAATCCCTCATTTTTAGGCTTCCTTTGAGATTGGCCCTTCCATGATCCTCCCCCACCCCATGTAATAATGTAGGTCGGATCCAAAAACAACACTTTGGGGTTTGGTGGAATGTGCCATGTAAGTGTAAACTATACAATGTTATAGTAGTTTCAGGTGTACAACATAGTGATTAGACATTTATATACCTTAGGATGTGACCACCACACTAAGTCTAGTACCCATCTGTCACTGTACAAAGTTATCACACTATTATTGACTATATTCCCCATTCACCTTCTTCACCCATCCCCCACTCTCCTCCCTTCTGGCAACCATCAGTTTGATCTCTGTTTCAATAGTTATCTTTTTGTTTTGTTTTGTTTGTTCATTTTTTTTAGATTCCATATACAAGTGAAATCATACAATATTTGTATTTCTCTCCCTGACTTATTTCACTTAGCGTAGTACCCTCTAGGTTTACCCATGTTGTCGCAAATAGCAAGCTATCATTCTTTTTTATTGATGAATAATATTCCATTGTATATATACCACATCTTCTTTATCCATTCATCTATCAATGGACACCTAAATTGATTCTATATCTTGGCTATTATAAATAATGCTGCAGTGAATATAGGGGTGCATATATCTTTTCAAATGAGTTTTTGTTTGTTTGTTTTCTTCCAGTAAATACCCAGAAGTGGGATTGCTGGGACTATACTTCAATAAAAAATAAAAAATAAAAAGTGCCACAAAATGCTGTCATATCTGTCAGCTGCAGCAAATATAAGCTCTAATGGAAACCATGCATTTTTCCTTTTTTTAATTTCAGGTCAATACTTTTAAAAAAATTAATCAAGCTCTGTTCTCAACCTATTGGAACTTAACACAATGCTGATGACCACATGATTCTTTTTCTTTGTGGGAGAAGCAGCTCTCCTGCTGATATGTAATTATTATGAATTTACTTTTGATTGAGAAAAGAATGGAGACCCATTGTTTCATAAAGAGTGGGGAAATTTAGATTTTAAACAGAACTTGGGGAAACAAGGGCAAATTTAATCTGCTTGTGCAGTATAACCTAACCTGAGTTGTAAGGAAATCCACATTAAATTTGGAATTTTGATAAATGAATATTCCTAGCAAGTACATAAAATGTATTCAAGTAACAACAAAAGACTAAACTATAAAATTTATAAGTTTTAAAATTATTTTATTCTACTTGAAATTATTTTGGAGAATTTACCAAGTGCCCTGTTAAACTTGGCAGACTAGCCTTCTTGGAATCTCTTCCTTTTCTAGGAAATCATCAAGTCTTGTTCTTGTCGCTGCCAAAATTCTTTGGCTGCTGTTCTTCATTTGTGCATCTGTAGCACATAGCACTGTGCTGGGATATAGTAGGTGATTGATAAATCATTAGTTAAATTAAATTTTGTCACCCTACTGATACATTAAATACATTTTGCCCTCCTGGCCCATCACTGAATTCCAGAGATCCTCTGTGAACCTAAAGGAACTACCTTTAGGTGAAGTATCACCATGAAAGGGGACTGGAAGATCTAACATTTTTTAATGCTTACTGTAGTCTAGATTTTTTTACTTTGCATACATCATTGCATTTACTCCTCAAAGTACCCCATGAAGGAGGTATTGTTATCCCCCATTTACCAATAAAGAATCTAAAATTCAAAGACATTAGCCCACATATTTAAAAATCAGGGCCGGCTGAGTGGCTCAGTTGGTTAAGAGCTCGCTAAAGAGTTTGAGCTCTGAGCAACAGTGGTTCGATTCCCGGACCAAGCTGAGCAGCTGCTGAACTGCCAACAGGTGACAGGATGGCTCAGCTTTAAAATAAAATAAAAAATCACACAGCTGATGAGAAAGAATTTCCAGTGTAAATCTAATCCAAAGACCAAGAAATGATGACATAGTAATGAAGCTGAAGTGAGGCCCAGATTTAGGGTCGTCAGGCAGGTATTCTTGACACTAACTTCAAATGACTCAGACACATCATATAACCTCCTCATGCCTCAGTTTCCTCATCTCATATGACATTATCATGAGTATCAAAAATTTTAATTTGTAAAATGGCTTTGAAATTATTGTGAATGCTATAAACAAACAATAGTCATGGGTCTGGTAAATAGAAACACTGAAACAGTTACGTTCCCAAAAGGTTTGAAATTCCTAGCCAACGATGAGAGGAAGGTGAAAGCAATGAAAGAAAGCAAAGACCAAAGAGAAAAAAACACCAGGCCTGTGGAGGGATTTTGGGAGCAAATCTTGAAAAGATTATTCTAGTACCAGTGCTGACCCAAGGCTGTTCCGTTGTGGCAGTTACCCTTATAATACGTTATGTCATGTTTTAAAATGTAGGTGTGATGGCCATAATGACTAAGCTGAGGATTGCACATAGGACAAAACATTGGGAATCAGGACTGTTGCATACGGGACCATATACCTTGGATAAGGATGGCTGAACTCCAAGCTACTCATTTGAAGGATTAAGAGTAATACTCTCCTTAAATGCATGGTTCTGAGAGTACATGTGCACCTCCCTGAGTACCTGAAACACCCCAAGGGCCTCAATGGTATCCAGCCTCCTGCTTCTTAAAACAGTCTGTTCAAAGTTTTTCACAGGAATTAATGGCACTTCAAGTTGTGGCCAATGTCTGGTTTTGACCTTATGAATGTTGAAGGGAAGCAGAGGTATTTGATGAGTTGATGAGTTACTAAGCATGCACTTCAGTTAGTATGTTAGTAATAACAGCTCAATCTTATAAAACTGAAAAGTTTTAGCATTTAATTGCATTCCTACTGAGTTTAGATAATAAATCATTAATCTCACTCAGCATATGACCTAATGCATGTATTTAGATTTAAGAAAGTTATTTAGTATAAGAATATACTGATATTCTTTCTTTCCCTTTGTTTGCATGAAAGTTCCAGAAACCACCTACCAGGTTTTTAAAAATTGTATTTTAACCCAAAAGAGAACAGGCAACCTAGCTGATATTTTAAACAGTGTTCAAGATGTCAAAGAGAAATGAAGAAACCGCTTTCATAAGTGTCTTTTGTCAAAGCTTGCCTAGAGGAGGCCTCTGTTTTCAAGATCTACTACTGAGATGGAGAATCTATGATAGATTGCTCAATTTCATCTGACCAATTTTAACTGTCATGTATCTCAAGAAATATAGATCTATGACAATAACACATTTAACTTTTTTTTAATAGCCTCCTTAATATTTGCAGTTTATCATTATCTTTAATTATTAAGCACCTTGATGGTAGAATGGGGTGTAAGGATAATTATTAGTACAATACAGCAACAAATGGCTAATTTGAGAAATTATTTAGAGTGTATTCCTAAGTTATAAATGTATTTTATAAACTATAAATTGCTCTACAAATAATATTTATAAGAATTATATAATACCAAATTATGTTTTTCTGCACAGTAGTGAAGTATAATAGAAAAAGACTTTTCCT